CCCCAGCCGTCTCGAAGATAGTGAGGCGTCTCTAACAGCAATTAGCCTCTAGATCGGGCCCTTAAGGCCAGGAGATCCAATGAAAGGCCATGGTAGTTCTTCAGCATAGAAAAGCAAACCACTTGGGGGAATAAAAAAATGGAAAGATTTCCCCGAATAAGTTCCCCGTGGAAAGGACTGGTTCATTAAAGAGGGAGGGTTCCTTTTTTTGAAGGGGAGGAGAGAACTTTCCACCTTGACCATGTCCTTGTTAAAAAATTATAAGAATCGATGAACTCAGGGGGCTCTCCTTTGCCTTGGAAACTCCATGACAAGAGCCTAGGCGATTACTGATGCTATAAACAAAGAGTGTCAATTTGTAAGTCAACCACAGGATTCACTGTGTACTTACTCTTCATGTAGGATCTGGTCCTTAGTGGGCTGTACATTGAGATTTAATGCTATAACTAGTGCTCAAAAAGTATTTTTCACTTTATGTTTTTGGGTGGGAGCAAAATGCTAAAATCTTTACTTAAGGTATGCTAAACTAAACTTCTGTATATAAAGAGAATCGAAAATGAATCTTGATGTGAATGGAAGGGGAAAGGGAGTGGGAAAGGGGAGGGTTGTGGGTGGGAGGGACGTTATGGGGGGCAAGCCATTGTAATCCATAAGCTGTACTTTGGAAATTTATATTCATTAAATAAAAGTTTAAAAAAAAAAAAAAAAAAAAAAAAACTTATTGAGTTCTGTGGACACCAACCGAAATAGCTGCAAATGATTAAATCTAGAATTTGCTCGAAGAAAGAGTGCTCCTAAAGGAGGGTTAATACTTTAATTAATATTTATAATACTTTACTTATTAGAGAATAACCTAATTCAAACAAAAATAGAATTCCAAGTCCCCTGTATAAAATTCCAAAAAGAATCACATTATTGGAAGAAGTTGTAGAGTCATTTTGATTATGGGGTCAGTGCTGTGGCGCAGTAGGTTAAGCTTCTGCCTGCAGTGCCAGCATCCCATATGGGCTCTGGTTTGAGTCCTGGCTGCTCCACTTTCAATCCAGTTCTCTGCTATGGCCTGGGAAAGCAGCAGAAGATGGCCCAAGTCCATGGGCCCCTGCACCTGGGTGGGAGACCCAGAAGAAGCTCCTGGCTTCAGATCAGTCCAGCTCCAGCTGTTCTGGCCATTTGGGGAATAAACCAGCAGATAGACAACCTCTCTCTCTGTCTCTCCCTCTCCCCATCTGTAACTATGCCTCTCAAATAAATAAATAAATCTTTTTTTTAAATTATTTTGATTATATCTTATTTTTAATATAAAATTTCAAAGTTGAGAGTGACCACATTTAAAGCAACAGGAATATTTTAAGGATCATGAATCTCAGGAAGGCAAACATATTTGCTTAGGGAATTAATGTCTAACTTCTGACAAATCTGAGCTATCTTTCCATGAGGCTGTTTTCAAATTTACAACATACATTTCTTCTACCGTCTCAATCTTTGAGTCAATATTGTGCAAATATTCAGGGGAGAGATAACTTAATCTTTAGCCTACAAGAATACTCCAGTTAACAAGGGTTTACTAGAGATTCAAAAACATTCTACACCAGGGTCAAATCATGTAAACCAATTACAGGAAGGCAAGAATTCCAAACCCTGCATTCTTTGAGCTCTTAGACTGGAAGCAACACATATAAGACTTAGCCTAATGTACATTAAATATGGCATAAAAATGTTTATTAGCAGCATAAAAGGTGATATAAAACCTGGGGAGATAAATGGGAAGCAAATTTAGAATCATATTATTGGAGAAATGTTTAAAGGAATTTAAATTCTGTTGAGACAAAACTGAAACCTACAATAGTTAAGAAATTCAATGTTACACAGTCTATCAGAGAATCTTGAACTGGGACCCTGGTAATCTGACAGTTTAAAGTGTGCTACACACCTGATTTTTCTATTTTTCGTTAATAAATTATTTAACTCTTTCTACCAACGGATGATTTCCAAGAAGTCTTGCCTAAATCTCTAGGTTAATTGATTCTGGGTTCTCAAACAACTTACCCCAGTTTTAACTTTTTTTTCAGAATTTATTGATATTTTATGTGTCTGTATCCCTATACTAGATTGCAAATTCCTTGAGACTGACTTAATCTTCAGTGCTCCATCAGTAACTAGCAGTTTTTGACACACACGAGTAATAAAAAATAACAGTGGAATTGATCTTGATCTGACTTTTCATTAAAGGGCTCACAATGATCCTTGCCCATTTCTGTCTGACATCCCCAAGCAGTGATATCAAAGTGCCCTTAGTTTTGTTTCAGTGAAAAGATCAGTTTCTCATTTGCATAGCATTTTTTTTTAACAGTCCTCTTTGCTGCCCAACCACCAAATATTCTACTTCATTAGCTCTCTGGAACCATATCTTTTCTGGAAGTCTTTCTTGACTCATGACCTCTTGCCAACCTAAATTGGATTATTGCTTCTCTGAGATTCATAATTCCTTGTGTGTTTTTCTGCACTACACATACCACTCCATAAGGTAATTATGCAAATATTCCACCTAAATTCTGTTTTATTCATGTTGGTGTCTTCCAAGATTTGTACACTGCCTGGTACATGGATAATTCGAAAATGTGATTTGAATAAAAATAACATTGAACAGGGAAATAAACTTGGCACAGGTTATATTTTAGGGTGGATGGATGAAAGTGGAAATGCACATAATTGGTTGTTTAGTACATCTTTCCAAAAGACAGTTGGGTCTAGAATAATAGAAAAAGCCTTTCATTGTGAAGCTACAGTTTAAGTTACAAAACCAGCAATAGAAACTTTTATAGACAGGGCAGTAAAATGGCACAGGGCTGTAGAGGAAGGGACAGAGTAGAAACCAGGAAAGTCAAGTCATTCTCGCAAATGCTTGGAGAACATCACTTCCAATCATGTTCCAAACACATACAAAGATGAAGATAAACAAGAGGTCAAACTCTAGTACAAGCCTGCTCCCTGAACCGCCTAGGTTACAAGACATCACCACTACTCCTGTATGAATACGCAAAGCTTTTTCTAATCTTTATTGTAGTAAAATATACATAAAATTTGTCATTTTTAAAGTGCATAGTTTGGTGGCATTGAGTGCACTCGCATTACTGTGCAACCATCACCATGATCCAGCCTCCTAACTCATTTTTTTAGTTATTTATTTTCATTTTTTAGTTGAAAGGTGGACAGGCAGAGACCTTCCATCTGCTGGTTCACTTCTCAAATGTCTGTAACAGCTAGTGCTTGTACAGACCAAAGCCAGCAGCTTGGAACTCTAGTTGGGTCTCCCAAATGGGTGGCAGGGACCCAAGCACTTGAGCCATTATTTGCTGCCTCCCAGGGTGCACATTAGCAGGAAGTCCCTCTGAGATGGAATGCGGGTGCCCTAAGTGGCATCTTAACCACGGGGCCAAACACCTGCCCCTTCTAATTCATTTTTAACTATAAGCTGAAGCCATAATTTTCTTCATTAACCCTGCTTTAGCTACATATTGAGTTTTATGCACCAGAAAATGTTCTACTGGATTACATTCAGAAACAAGGAACGACACACAAAGGAAAAATCAAAACAAGAGAAAAGGTATACAAATTTATTAACATGTAAAAGGGACAAATCACAGCACGGGGAAAATATACGAGCGATTATACACTATCACAATTATTCATAAGTTATTATATACCCCATTTTTATGGAGCAGGGGAAGATGAGGAATTTAGACAGTTTTGAGGGGCATAGTAAATGATTTTTAGGGAAACTTAATGGTTTGTGAATCTGCCCGCAGAACGGACAGGTGAGTCCAGTGTGTTGACAGACTTCCAGGTGTGTCTTTCTTTCAGTGATGTGAGTTTAGTTATTAAAAGCTCGGGGGCGTTGGAGTGAGTGGGAAGGAGACCACAGGTGATCGTTTCTTCTTCAGCAGGTCTTGTCTTTGGGCAAAAAATATTTTCAGAAAGCCTCTCCTCACGCTTGAATGCGAAAAGCAAAGGTCAGAGGCACCTAATTCTGAAGGTTCTCAAGACCTGTCGGCATGTCAAAGTCCCAGTATTTTTTGTTTTGAGTCCCAACAAGTGAAATAAAAGATCAATAAAGGACTAGCCTTCAAGGCCTTGTGTTAATGGAGTTTAAGAGCTAGAGGCTCACTTCCTCAATCCTCTTTCGCCCTTCCGGGCGTCACAACCGAGAAGCAACTGGATCAGCACCCACATTTCGCCAAAACGCAATTCGGTCCTGGTCTCCAAAGGCCGCTGTCCCGAGCCAGCGCGGATGCTCCGCGGCTTCCTTTCCCTACTGTGCAAACTTGGTAGGGTAGGGACCGGGCTCTCTACAGGAGACGGCAGGATAGCGCTGAGAAGAGTGGAGGGAACAAAGTGAGAAAAACAGCTGGAGCCTCAGCCTTTCCTCTTCAGGCCTCCCTCTAGCTCCCAAGTCTTCACCGGCCCCCGGAGCGCTCCCTTAAACCCACAGCCTTGCCCTTTGCTTGGGCTCGCGCTTTTTATTGACGCAAAACTCCCATTCTCGCGGGATCTTGGGAGCGAGAGCCGCGCAGGGCGAACGAATCTCGAAATCTCAGTTGGCGCTGGAAGTGGAGCGGCCGCTGGGGCTCCTGAGGGCGGGGTGCGGAGCTTGCGAGGGGCGTGGCCTCGTCTCCGAGAGGGGAGGGACGAGGCGGGAGGGGGAGGTGAGAGAGACCGGGGGCGGGGCCGTGCGGCCACGGACCTGTTGATCGCAGGTAGAGCCGGCTGGCCCGGGATCCCTCGGGAGTGGGGCGACTGCGCATGCTCGTTAGTGGCGCTGGGCCAGTCGCGGAGCGGCGGTGACGAGCAGGCTGCTCGGTTGCGGCGGTTGCGGTGGTTGCGGTTGCTGCGATGGCGAAGTGAGGGGGCCCCGGACGGGATGGTGCTGACCCGGGTAGGGCTTTCTTCTTCCAGCTGGACGACGAGCTCCTCTGTCCGACGGGCGAGGGAAGAGGCCAAGCCCGGCGAGAGGTAAGCCCGTAACCCTCCTCTCCGGCTCCCCCGGCTGCAGACACCCGCGACCCTCCCTCCGTCCCTCTTTCCCAGGGGCCAGGCAGGAAGAGGCCTCCTTCTCCCCGTCCCGCGCTCGCCCGCTGCTGCCCGCGTCCCGGCTGCTCGCGGCCGAAACCCGGCCCCGGGCCCCGCTGAAGGTCGGTGGGGACGGCGGTGCTGGGCGCTATCTGGGAGGCGAGGGACCGCGGCGCTGCGCTCGCCCGGCGCTCTCCACCGCCCCTGCCCCAGCCGCGGGTCCCTCCGGCCGGCTCTTCCTGAGCCTCCCGCCTCCCGTGCCCCAACCTTAGCCTGCCCTTCGCCCCCTGCTCCAGCTTCGACCCTCCCCCGGCCCCTGCTTTACCTGCCTTGCGTGCTTCTGCGTTTTCATCCCGCGCCTCCCACGTGCCTTTTCGTCCTGGTGGTCCCTCGGTTGGAAGCGGTGTACGCTTTTTGCTCCCTTGGATTTCTTTCCTGTCGCTGTGCATCCTGCCCAGCCTGGCGGTTCCCTACCCGGAGCGTCTTACCCTCGCCCACCTGGGTGCTCACTCTGTTACCTCCATAATTGGTCTTCCGTGGCTTTCGGAACTTCATTCTCTTCTGTTGGTTGCCGTGTGTGTGTGTGTGTGTGTGTGTGTAAGCATCGCTTTGCCCCAGACTTGGTTCTGTGCCCCACCTTAGCTTCGGAAGCCCCTCTCTGGGTACCGTACTTCGCTTACTGCCTAATAGCTCCTGCCTCCCTTGTCTTTTTCCACCCTCGTCCCATTTCTGCTCTCTAATCTTGATCCATCTCTCCCCACCACCAATCTTATTTTCCTAGGTCGAGCCTCTTAACTTCAAACGTATGGTTTTTTTTTTTTTTCTCATTAAATCCCGGAGAATTCTTTCTAACATGCCCATCTGTTCTATTCTGTTTTCTACCTAAGCTACGTATCCACTCTGTATGTAGTTCAGCTTCCAGTTTCTTAAAGTCTCTTCATTCTTTCTTCACCACCTGGAAATATCATCAAACGAGTGACAGTAGCAATAAACCTGTTAAACTTCGTGACTGATGCATTAATTTTTAAGAATTATGTTTATCTGACATTGACTCAGGAGAAGGAGTTCAAGTTCAGATTTCAGGAAACTAACGAAGGGCTGAGATTTGCTAAAGGAGAACCTACAAACATATGCTGAACACTTGAAAATGTTACTGTCCTCCAGTACATGTAGTTATCTGAGAACTAATCTTAAATGAATTTTAACAAAATGTATTATTAGACAGTTTAAACTTATGCTGTTGCAGTTGATTGCATCATTTTCTTGAGAGTCTGTTCCCTTTAATAAATGCATATGATTTCTGCTAACTTAAGAATAAAGTTAGTATGCTTACTGAAGGAGAAATGCGTGAGAACAGAAGTATTACATTTTTGAGTTGGGCAGAACTTTTTTCTAAAGAGTTTTGGGAAAAAAGGTTTTGGAAATTGTTTCCTTACTTTATTGTGATGAAGACTTGGTTTAAGTAAAACGTACCTCTGTATAAATATGCTGTCTTATTTTGGAGGCATCTGCAGAAGCAACTACTCTCAGTGAAGTTTGCCTTTATTCTAGGGTTGAAGATCATCTGGATTATGTATTTCGTTCTGGAATCTCAAAGCAGTCCACAAACAGTAAATTCTTCCTTATGTTGTCTATGTCAGGTAGGAATTAAGTTTTTCTGTTTCTAAGAAGGGAAATCCCAAGGCAAAAGGAATGTAGTTCTTTATTCAGAGTGACTTGAGGTGAACATAGGAAGATCTTTAGTTTCATGAACCACACTTCTCTTAGAAGAACCAGTAATTACTGTGTATGTTTAAGAGATGATGAACTCCTCAGCTTTTCAGATTTTTTTTAAAATGATTTTTCAAATGCATATGGAGAGATTACTGCTGCTTCTATAAAGAAACTTCCTCTTTCTTGAAATGCTGGTGTTTTTATTTTTAGGTGACTATTCATTACAAGAAATAAATATCAATGCTTGGTTTTTTTAGTAAGTTGATTCTGTGCTCTTAGAAATTAAAGTAAGATTAGTGGTAGACAGCGGCATAGGACTAATAAGTCAGAAGTTCTAAACTCTTATGACTCATGACATTAGTTTGCAGAAGCCACTTAACCTCTAAACCTAGTATCTCCACCTATGAAATGTGGATAATAAAGGTGGCCCATCAGTAATCTGTGAGCAGTGAAGCCATGATCATTTAAACTTGCTCTGGGCAACCACAGACAAAAATTGCTGCATAAATACTTATTTTTTTATCTCTTAATTTTAGACTTTATTAGAGTATAATTTACAGCTTAAATCTCAGCTCAAACTGGAACTTAGAATTTTTTGTTTTATTTCAGACTTTTGTGAAAAGTCTACTAGAATGTTAAAACTGAGAACTAACGTTAATTAATGTTCATATATTGTGGCGTAGACACTGCAGCATTCAGTATGTACAAGGGATATACTCCTTGTTTGCCAGAATTTGAAACTGAAAAGAGATGTAAGAGTTACATATACGTCTGTGGTTACCTTCTTAATTTCTGTTGTCTTTTTATTTTTTATTTGTTTACTAAAAATGTAGACCTTTGAGAATGGGTTAATAAATGTGGCTGTTTAGGGGAGAGAAATGGCAGTGATGGGGACGTACAGATTTGAAGTGAGTTATTTTTTGCCTTTGAGGGTTTTTTTTTTTTTTTTTGGTAGGAATAAATTAATAGGACTAAGAAGCAGAGAATGATATAGAAGAAAGCATTCTTAATGAAACTAATGATTTTCCCAAAAAAGTCACAAGGCACAAGCTGTTATATAGGTCTAGGTTTTTCAGAACTGAAGCAGCCCCACGATGAGTTTCATCATTTAATTTTTAAAGATGGTGGCGTTTTGGCCGGCGCCGCGGCTCACTAGGCTAATCCTCCGCTTAGCGGCGCCGGCACACCGGGTTCTAGTCCCGGTCGGGGCGCCGGATTCTGTCCCGGTTGCCCCTCTTCCAGGCCAGCCCTCTGCTGTGGCCCGGGAGTGCAGTGGAGGATGGCCCAGGTGCTTGGGCCCTGCACCCCATGGGAGACCAGGAGAAGCACCTGGCTCCTGGCTCCTGCCATCGGATCAGCGCGGTGTGCCCGCCGCAGCGCGCAGGCCACGGTGGCCATTGGAGGGTGAACCAACGGCAAAAGGAAGACCTTTCTCTCTGTCTCTCTCTCTCACTGTCCACTCTGCCTGTCAAAAAAAAAAAAAAAAAAAAAAAAAAAAGATGGTGGCGTTTTTTAACAGGTGTATCTTTGGTTAACAATGATATGCTAAATTTAAAATTACAAATCTCTTTTTTTTTTTTTTGAAATCAGATCAGACCTATTGTCATGTTTAATCCCAGTGAAGAGTCA